GTACTGCTGATAGCTGGGGTAGCCTGGGGCCGGGGTACCCTCCTTAGGGGGCAGCTGGCTGGGGTTCTCCAGGAATGGGGGTGCATTGCGGAACTGCTGGGCGGTGTAGCGAGTGAGGAGGATGCCAACACCCTCGATGAGGGCCAACAGGATGCCCCCCATCATGGCCGAGCCCACCATGGCCAGTGGGCCACTGCGGGCAGCCAGCACAGCTCCGGTCAATGCTCCACTAGTGATGGAGTTCCAAGGATCTTCCTTGCCCTGCAGTCGCACCAGACCACAGTCGATGGTGGAGAACAGGCCCCCCCATACCGCGAAGCTACCTCCAATTTGAGGGGCTCGGATCCTCACAGCATTGACACTACCTCTCAGTCGGTGCCGAATTCCGACAGGGGCATTGCGGAAGCCCTTAATGGCCTGGAAGACTCCACCGCCGATAACACCCATAGTGAAGGCTCCACCGCAATCATCCACAATTTGCCATGGGCAAGGCTCCCGAGCGTACTCCTCCATGGCGCCGGCGTCCGGCCTCGCGGTCTGGCTAGATCGTAAGTATAGTATTGTTTTCATTTCGATGATGGGGTCACCACGGAACACACAGAGTCAACAACAATAACAACAGCAGAGCGAACCCAGTGACAAAGAGCCACCCTCCGCTCACCACTGAGAAGTCCCTCTCGTGCTGGATCACGTGGCCCGATGTGTATCCATATCTTACGGCAGAATCAGAGGACTCCCTCTCCAGTCTGCACACCATTTCCGGAGTAAACTGCCATTTGGCCGCGGATCAAAACGCTGCCCTGCTCCCTACTGCCTAGAGAGTTAAGCCCAAATGCCTTGCATCAAGGCTCTGGCCGGTTTTGAGACCCTGCCTCGACTCCATTGGTGTCCTTAGCCCTCCTTTTCCCCTAAGTGAGCTCTCTGCCGTGGCCACAGCCGCACTTTCATTGCCTCCTGAACACGTCAGATGCATTTCCACACCCATGCCACTCCCTCAGCTGGACTATTCCCCTGCCTCGATCCAGTCTCAGTCCCATCTCTCCTTCTCAACTCAGGTCTGACTTCCTCTTTGTAGCTTCCCTGGCAGGTATCCTGTGCTATTTCACATTCTTATTTATGTTTTTATGTATCACCCTTATTATCCCAATAAGACCAGTGGTGGATTGTTTGCAAAACAACCACAATAATTTGTCCCCTGCCTAGATGTGTGTCCCTTTGCAGCGTGACTTGCCTTGGCCACTTCTGCCTTCAAGAGGCAGAGTCCATATCTTGACTCTTTCGAATCTGAATTTGATTCTAAATCTGACTTGTTCTGGCCAGTGGAATGTTAGAAAATCCTGAGACCCTATAAGGAGCCTGGGTTAGCCAGAGAAGGATGGAAAAACACAAGGAGCAGAGATGGATCATCCCAGCTGACCAACCAAAGACAAGCTGTCCTAAACCAACCAGCTTGCCAGCTGCCAAGTGTTTGAGAGAAGCCATCCTGACTCATCCAGCACCAGTTAAGCTGTCCCGGACAGAAAAGCCATCCCAGCCAACCCAAGGAATTGTCAACAAACAAAAGATGTTTGTTTTTATATGCCAGTATATTTTGGGATGGTTTGTTATGCAGCAAAAGCTAATGAATACAAGATTCTAATCTCCATCAGATGTTGAGGTATGACCCAACTTACCTGAATCCTCAGAATCCAGTCTTGCAGATGATAGCTGGTCCTCAATAAAAGTTTGTTTTTGACGATAAAAATGCCAGTAAAGAATGATGAGAGCTGGAGTTTGAAGGAGGCCAGGCCTAGCCTTCAGAGAGGATGGAGATCTGAGAGTAACTGGGAAAGCTGTTTCATGCTTGAAACATGGACTAAGCCAACTAGATGATATCAGAGTTCATGGTAACCTACCTTAACTCCGTGGAGTTTCTATCATGAAATTCCCTTCTCTCACAGGACTGTAAAGCTGTGCACAAACTTGGCCAACATACGCTGGATTCAACTGATGGAGTGTCAGGAAAGGGTTACTCTTGGGAAGAGAGATGCAGCCTGGGGGGGGGTGAGATCTCACATTTTATCATTCCTTCATCCATTTATTGAATGTTGACTGAACACCCACCATGTGCCTGGTGGTGCGCTGGGGACCAGGAGTAAAGAGAGGAGCAGTCTGATCCTGTTCTTCAAGAGGCTCTAGGTCTGGAGGGGAGAGGAGCATCAGGACACATCTGACTGCCTCCTGGCTCGAGTTCAGCCAGACAAGAGGTTAGTTAGAGGCTCCTGTCCTAGCGCTCGTTTTCCCAGACAAATTGACTGTTATTGGTTTACCTCTCCCACTTGTGGGAGCTTATAGACAATTTTCCAAGTCTTTAAGTTTTTATTTTCTGAACCAAATTGAACTTGTCTTAAGAAAACAAGTAAAAATGAATTGTCCTTAATGGTATGATCATCTAACTCCTTCAGATGTAATGCAACTCTGTGTAGCTGGGTCCTGGGTGCCATGTGCTCCACCGTCAACACCTCGGACTGCGGTCAAGGACAAAAGACTGCCTGGATTCTCCGAAGGCTCAGTGACATCCTGCCTGATGGCCAAGGGCCTGATCGTGGCTCCCAGGTGGACTATCGTGATGATATACCCCACCGCAGATTATCGGGCACTGAGTGCTTATTTGTCAAGTGCTCACAGTTTTAAACCCTATTGTTTCTCAGTGACCTCATTAGATAGGAACCACTGATATTTCTCTTTCACAGATGAGAAATTGGAAGCACTAAGAAGTTAAGTAACTTGCCCAAGGTCACATAGCTAAGGAGGAACAGACCTGGAGCTTGACCTCGGTGTTTTTGTTCTCATCTTTCATAAAGCTCACACCACTTTAGAGCCGGCCTGTTTATAGCCCTGGGGAGACTGGTCTCCCTTCTTCCCCCCTGTTCCAGAGCTTCAGTGTCCTCGCGGCCCAGCACTTACTTGGGTGGTAACTGGCCTCCTGCTGTTTTCACTCTTAGAGGATTGGAAGTCCTTCTGACACAGCGCTTCACCTCTTGTTTGGTTTATCTTTCCTAAAGCTCAAAGCAAATAAGAGAGCCTGACCTGTTCCCTTCAGGCAGCTTCTGAATGAGAGCCTTCCAGAACTGTCAGCCAACACTCAGCTGACAGCAGCCCAGCTCCAGGCTGCAAGTGACTCGGGGAGAATCTGGGAGGCTCACTGGCGCTCCTGTCCCAGTGCCTGGCAGTAGTCACTGCCGGCTGAGTGAGGGAGTTCCTGCATCCAAGACCTGGGGAACGACCTCACCTGCCAAGCCAGTACCAGTCTTTTCTACTTTTAGTTACAGAAGTTTTTTAAAAAGAAGAAGAGAAAAACCTGGAGAGAGGTGGTCCCCAGCCCCTCCCCTTCTTTCTTCCTCCCTCTATGACCACCTCCCTCCCTCTCCTCCCCTCTGAGCCCACCGCTTTCCTTCTCCATTCTCTCCCTCCCCCACAAGATCTCCTCTCCCTCTGGTGAAGTCCAGCCTATGGTAACTTCCTTCTAATTCAGATTGGTGTTCCTGTGTTACCATGGCAACCCGCTGCTCCCAAGGATTTCCAGCAGTCACTTTGCCCCTCTGTTTTTCATAGGAAATCTGCATTCTGCGTCTTGTCCTTCCCAACTCACCACTGCCAGTTTGAGCAAAACTCCAGCCCCAGGCTCTCCAATATTTTTAAGCAGCCATCTCTCTTTTATATCAACTGTGTTGATGTATTTTGAATAATTTTAGATGCAATATCAGTCAGTTTGGTTAATTCCAAATACATCAGTACCGTTTTCTCCTTGGAGCATACCTGGCTTACTTAGTGAGGGGTGGACAAGTTGGATTTGTACTTATGCAGAGGCGTTGATAGGAGCTGACTTGTGCCTACTGAGCAGGGAAGTGGTTCCAATGCGACCATTGGTGCCCCAGAGGGAAGGAGGGAACAAATCAGAAACCTGCCCCAAGAAAATTGTCCAGTCCACAAAAATACCAGAACTCAGCATCCTCTCCAAGCCCTTGCTGAGCAAAAGGTCCCAAATGTCATGCAAAGAAAAGAATATGCCCTCTGAAAACAGGCAAACTTGAGTGTTATTCTCAACTCTGTTAATGAACTAGCTGTGCTACGTGAGCTTGGGCGGGTTCCTTACCCTCTCTGAATCTCAGTAATCTTTCAAAGTTATTGGGAGAAACAGATGGGCCAATGCACATTAAAGGGCCTAAAGTAGTTCTCGGCACACGCTTAGTAGAAAGTAACTGCTGTATTCCAGTTCCTAGCGTGAGTGCTAGCACTAGTGTGAGTCCTGTGAGGCAGCATCGAGGTTCAAAGCTGAGCACCAGAGGCAGATAGCAAGGTTACCATATAATCAGGCTGCGCAGCTGGTAACCCAACCAGGTTCGTGGTGTGAACACCCCAAGGTTCAGGATAGAAGCAGTCATGAGAAGCTAAGGCGCCAAGACTCATCAGATGCTGCTACAGGAGCAACGTACTTGGGTTGTCAGGAGGGGAAACTGACCCAGCAAAGGAACCAGACACTGCCAGCATTCAGCATCCTCTCCCCTTCTCCTCGTGTGTCAGGCAGGCCGGGAACTGGGAGCGGAACAGTGAAAGGGAGAGAAAAGCCAGGTCCCTGCTCAGGCCCGGAAAAGAAGGCTGAGCACACACGAAAGGGGCCATTTGACCTGAGCTAGTTCAACAGGACCCTTGAATGTGGGGTTGGTTCCAAGCCCTGAACCTTCAACTTGAAAAATACGTCGTGCAAAAGATTCTTAAATGAGTGTGTAACAGGATGGACTGAAATAAAATACTCGACCTAAAAGTTGAAAGTTATGTTTTATTCGGCAGATTTTGTTGGGACTCAGCCCAGGACATAGAATCTCTGATCACTCTACGAGGCTGTTCCAAAGCAGCAAGGTAGAAGCCAGGATAAGTGAGTTTTTGCAACAAAGACCAGGTAGTTGGAACATCAAAAGATTACTGTTAAAGAAAACTAGATATCTCAAGTTAAAGGATTTAGCACTTTTCTATGTCTGAGAAGGTGAAAAGGTCTGGATTCATGGAAATCATTCCTTTGATATGCATCTAGCTCTCTAGGGCTGGTGTCCTGTTCTGCCACATCCCAAGTCCCCTCAGGGGGCACCGCTGGGGGTGGCCGCAGAGGCCCGGCTGCCTGCTTGTCTGCATTCCGAGTTCCCTCTGCTCACTGTCGGGGGTGGAGGTAGCGGCTGATGACTTGATGGCCACAGCATCCTTTGTTTACTGACACAGCTGCCGATACTTTTCATTCAGGCTGGTGAGAAATTTCTTGATGTTGATAACCACAGGGGCCATGTCAGCAGTGCTGTACCTACTAAGAGATTAGAATCTTCAAAAGCAAGACCAAGACCCCCTTCTAGGATATAGAAGAAAGGCTGGGAGAAGATCAAGTAAGACTAGTGGACCCTTATTAGGAAGCTGTTTCCCAGGCAGAGGTAGCAGGCAGTGGGGCAGAGAATCTGTTAGAAGGTGATAGGCTGATGTTTTAGAAGAATCTAGAGGGGAGATATTGTGGTTAAAGCCTCT